ATTCCAAATAAGTTTTTTATTTTTTATTTTAGAGAAAAATGTTTCGGACAAAAGTTGTATGGCTTTGAGGGGGACATACGATGATATCATTAATTTAATGAATAGTTGCTTGAGGGTCACGTGAAGATTATCTTCAATTTTTTAAACGGAACCTCCTATTTTTTATTGCACATTTTTGTAGATTATCTCGAGAGCTTTCCAAAACACTATAATAAAATATTTTTTTATTAAGTATTTCTCGAATTATAAGACTCGAATGTTACAGTACCGCCGGCATTAGCATTACGCAAGGTGCCTGACCGACGACTAGAATCTCTTAAATGTTGTTCAGAATCATGTCCTGAATAACATTTGTCGAGATCAAGGTCATTAGAAGTTGTCCTCTTATTTTTATTTTTACGTAAAAATGAATTTTTAATGCAAAAATGAAAATAAGAGGACAAACATCTTCATCTACAACTTTCAATGATCTTGATCTAGACAAACGTTATTCAGGACATGATTCTGAACAACATTCAAAAGGTTTTAGCCGGCGATCAGATATCTTGCGTAATATTAATGCCGGCAGTACTGTAACGTTCGAGCCTTGTAATTCAAGAAGTATTTAATGAAACCAATTTTAGAATTGGGGAAAAAATAAACTGGAATTAAAATTAATCTTATATTTGTGGACCTTAGAAATACAGTTGTATTATGTATACATGTAGGCTGTGTTCTAATATATACCACCAGTACTAAAAATCTGTATGTAATATACATAAAGAACAGATTTTTAACTGATAATTATATCAATACGAAGTCGTAATAGCACTTTTTCCTTATGTCTAATGCCATTTTAGGTAACAATAATATATTATCAATAAATGAATACGACATTGCACATACATGATATAACTCTACATATTATAACTCTTTTTTTGCTCTGTCCAATAAAAAGAGATAGATACTTATAGTATTTACATTACTAACATGTCGACTTATATATCTAATATAGAAAATTATATGTATATTATACTATGTGAACACACACATACACACATACATGCACGCATTATATAAACAGATAAAGTTACTCATATTGAAATAATCATGCAGATATTATTTATTTATACGTAATATTAGAATTTTATGTATATACATTGTATAATGTGTGTATTCACATCGCACAAACATAACACATTTATAATTCTAACATTGTTGTAACAATATATAAAAAAACATTAGTGAATATAAATTATAATTATATTTTATATGTATTATAATGTATATATACACAATAATGTACCCAAAATATAATTTTAATATTGTATACATCATTAATTCCAATCATTAATTCCAATAGATATGTCACAGGATTAGTTTTCTGTACTTTGACAATTCTAAACTCCGTGGTCCAATTTAGCATGTAATCTTTCTCAAAGATCGTTTTGAAATTGCTCACACGTACCGAGTCATCCACTTTGAATCGCGGGAGTGCGACAGCCTTTACGCTATTGTACACCGTGTTTAAGAGTTTGTCAGTAATCAGGAAAGTTCACATCAATGGGCCGCATACCGATAGTTCGATGCTTTCATACGTTGTACTTAGACACGAGACGTGGTCAATTCATTTATAATTTCCATTGAGCGTAAATTATAAATATCGTTTTTCAACATACGATTGAACCGTTCAACGACAGATGCCTTCATTATGGAATACGTTGAAAAATGATTTATGTTGTGTCTTTTCAGGAGTTTTTTGCACGTTTGCATTATAAAACTTTTCCCATATCGGTTTGTAAATTTTTCAGACATCTTCCATCGTCTCAAATTATCTTTGCGATCACTGTAACCATCTTATTTTCATTCTTGGTTTTCAGTGGTATAACTCATGCATGCTTACTCAACACATCAATAATGGTGAGAATGCATTGATAACCTTTGTTGAATCGTGTGTAATGGTGGCATCTCGACACATCTGCGTAGAAAATTTTTTCTCGTCGGAGCATGCAGTTCTTCCACCAGTCGCCACTTTTCGAGATTTTTCTTCTCAGATATGTTATGTTATGTTATAATTATTGCTGTATAATGCGTAAAATATCACAAAGTTCTTAAACGCAAACGTTGTTGATCGGCATTTTGATGTCAACTAAAATGACTGTGTATTACGTTTCAATTTATAATAAAGCCAGCTTCACGAAGTTCCTCGATAATAGACAATATTTCGTTATAGTGGACGTTGTGATCTGCCTGACGCGAGGCCTCAAGCAATCGGAGACGATCCACTAGCTCGTTAGGATCGTCCCAATGAACATACACAATGATCGATTTTATCGTTTAGTGTCATGGTGCGTAGTATTGTATCTTTTCCGACTCTTTTACCTAACTTGTTGTTTAGTTTCTTGGCGCGTGGCATGCCCGTTCTAACTTGTATTTTATCTGACACCAAGAGTGCTATTATCTTCTTATATTTGTACCCTTTGTTGGATCCGCTTTATGACTGCGCCTATGAGCATTCGTTTACTTTTATATGCTAGTTTATCATTTTCTGGGTAAAATAGTATCGTCGGGAATTCTTTTGAAAATTAATTCGCACAAACCAGGTGTATCTTTGTACTTTATTCCATCTACGATCACAAAATCATTGATGTCTACTTCGAAATATTTGTCACCGAACATCGTGCCGTTCTCGTTGAATAGGAGTTATGAGCCATAAACGTGATCGCCTTTTCTCTGTCACCACAAGAAGCATGTTTATATATTTTTGTCCAAGTGCTCCCAATTGATTATGCAACTCCTCACGAACTTGCCGCGTTTGCAAAGATTGTTTAATTAACGTTTCAAGCGGTTCATTGGGAGTTTCATAAACATCTTTGACTGAGGAAACGATGTTACATCTTTTGCCTTTTTAGTGTCCTTTTTATTATCTACCTTCAGCGTATACATTTTCGCTCCGAGTCCGACGATTTCAGTCAATATTTTGTCATTATTTGCCATTATTTTTATCCTTCATTAATATTCTGGCACTTTTTTGTTCGGAAGTGATATACCATACACATTATCGATAGAATAATCATTCATCGAACCTAGTGATATCACGCTTAATTTGTTCATAAACGTCATCACATTCGACATAAGATATATGAGGCTATCAGTGTCTGTGTAAATACTTTCACATTTTTTGCAATATAGCGGTAACATATATTCGTGATGAAATTCATACAAACAGATCTTCGATACATCGAGTATATACATTCCTACGTAGAACGATTTGTTGAACTTCAACTCAAGTTTATGAATTTCAGTTGCTATCAGATTTTCAGAAAACATACTTCTAATGTGAAAATTCAGCTTCGCGATCATTGCCTCTGCGTATCGTCCCATCGTGTTAATGACACAGGTCAACATTTGATCTAAAAGGATACTCTGGAAGAGGACTGGTCACAGTAGGTTTTTTGGGTCGCTGATTACGATGAGAGGATTGGTTAAGCTTCATCACATCAGGTACAAGGTCATTTCAAGGTCAAGTAGAGAGAAAACCTTCGAAAAAATCCAAAAAAATTCATGGGTATGTTTTTGAGGTCCCCGAATCCGAATCCGTAGTCCGTTTGAACCCACGACCCCTCCTAGAGGTCATTCAAGGTCGGTTTTAAGTCAATTCAGTTCCAGTCAGTCAATGGCAGAAGAGGCAGGAAACTATAATCCGACCAGTTAAGGCAAGACATAAACTCCCATTAAACCCCGGCTAGTTAAAGCAAGGAATTGTTACCCGGCCAGTTATAGCAAGACGTAAATTCCGGCTAGTTAAAGCGAGGAGTTGGAATCCGGCCAATAAAGGCAAGGCTCACTCTTATTGTGAACGCTAACGTTTTTGGTGGAATGATCTTCGAATTCCTTTTCTTTTATGATTTTTTTTTGAGTCTCTCTTTAGACTCCAGCAGTAGTCTGCCATATTTATTCCCCAAACACCTTGATATCTCTTTTCGAATTCATTCAAGTCCTGGTGCATTCTTTCTCCTTGTTCTTCACTAAAAGCTCCCAGATTTTCTGGGAACCAATCGAGGTGAGAGTCGAGAAAATGCAGTTTCAGACTCATTAAGCATCCCATTTCTGCAAAATTTTTAA